GCAGAAGACTGCCGTGTTTCTCTATCTTATGTGTCATTCATGAGTGACTTCCTAATAAATATCTGATATGCCTTTATTTCAGGCGCTTGTGGACTCTCTTACCATCTTTACAGATGAGGGGCCAGGGAACTAAGCCCAAAAGACATGAGTCCGAGAGATAAGAATGCATGAGGGACTAAGCCCAAGGGATGCTTAGGTCCAAGAGAAGAGAAATGAGGCCAGAGGTGATTGTTGGTGAAAAGGGCTAGCTATATCCTTGAAGAACATAGCTGGGGGTACTCCCATTTCCAAGAACACCAGAGGGGTAGCAGCCTATCAACAGTCACTCCCATGGGTCCAGGGGAGCGTTTATGATGAGCAGGAGAAGGGAAACTCACCGATTGTAGCTGATGTTGTTCAAAGGGGCCCAGTGGATGGATGAGTATTTGCAAAGTGGCCTGTTGTTCAGGGTCCCCACACCTCAGGGTGCCTGCAGGGCCCGCCCAATCTCACAGCACCAATGTTGTAGTTTAGCTGCAGTGAGAACAAATCATGAAATACAACAAACCCACGTGGAAGTTTATTGATGGGGAGGTAAGAGGGAGTGGTTATGGCGGACAGGGAAAGGGAAATAGTGAGGAGAGAGTGAGGGATGGACGGAGCTTACTTTAAAAGGGTCCTTTGTGCATGCATTCAGAGCCTTATGCAGCCACACATCGGGTGACGTAATGACATGCAGCCTTGGCTCCCCCGCCCCTCCGCAGTCTAAGTATGAATACTGACAAAAGCATGGGCAGCTATAAGACTCCAGACTGGCAAGGGATTTGTCTGAATGTTGGCAAAAGCATCTTGCCAGGTAAGAGGAGACGGGCCAGTATAATGCCTTAATGCTGACACAGACCTCAGCAGTTTGTGGGTTTCTCTTATGGGCATATGTCTGGCCTGGAGGTCATGGGGACAGAGACTAGTCCTGTCTGTATGCTCAGAGCAGAGCTGTCGAGACTGGACCTCTGGAGAGGAGCAGAACTGTGGGTCTGCAAGGAGCAACCTATTTATTACCCCACATCTTCTGGGCAAGGCTGGGGCCTCTACTCTCGTTCATAGTTGATTTTTCTTCCCTGCTTCCTCTTTTTTCTCTTTCTTTGTCCTTTTCTCCCCTTTCCCTGCCTCTTTCTCGCCCTCCCCTGTGTCCTTTTCTTTTGTTTTATATTAGACCCTGCTGTGTTCCCCAGGTGGGGCTCAACCAGTCCTCCTGCTGAGTCTTTGGTACAGCTGGGAACATAGGCAAATATCATCATATAGTTCTGCTCTCTAACAAACCTTAGTGGTATAAGATCATTCTATCTATCATACCTCATGGTTTTGCACTCAAAATTCTGTCACTGCTTGCTGGGTGATCCTTCTGCCCAGGTACCTGGCAGTGGCTGGAGACACCTGATGGCTTTCAGCTGGTCTGCCTTGTGGGTTGGTCTGGAGCATGAGGACAGAAGGTGAGGAAGCTGGCTCAGAGGTCTAGTCACTGGCACCCAGGGTGCTGCTGTCTCCAGCGTGGTGGCTCCCATTCCCATAGACTTTTCCAGAAGATCAAGACAGATACTGTAAAGCTGGTTTTGACCTGGTTTTGGAAGTCACTTAACACCACTCCTACCACATCCCAGAACCAAGAGAAGAGACAGAAATGATGTTGGGCACTAGGAGGGGCAATAAGATACCTGAAACCAGGACACTGAGGAGGGAAAGTCCAAGAGCCCTCACACCTGTGTCTGCTTTAGCTAGAATAAGAACCAATGGACCATAAAGCCATCCTGGGAGTCTCATCCATTTGAACCTGTCTCCCATTCAGTATTTTTCAGTATTTTGTCCAAAGCAACCCAGTAGCGAAATCCTATTCTGAGCTTTAGTAGCCGTCCACCTGTGTTTCCATCATTCACAGAAGATCTGGACAGGACCACAGGTCTAGAAAAGAGAAAGGTATCCTCTGTTGATACCATCTCTCAGGCTCCTAAGACCACTGCTTCTCCCCTCAGCCATTGACCCTGCCAGCCCCCAGACAATGAGCCTGAGAACTCTGCAAATGAGGCTTATTATTCTGGAAACAGTGATGGCTTAATATCATTCCCATCACCCTAAAGTATTTCTGGCTCCTCCAACCCCTCCAGGGGCAGGAAGCAAAAGCCCAGGAAGGTGCTCAGAAGAATTGGCAAGACAAAGGGGTGCAGGCTCAGCCTTGCCCATGGAAATGGGTGGGAACTTGGCTTTCAGAGAGTCCTAGGACTTGGGGATGTCAGGAGTCGACCTTCCAGCACTTCTCTGCAGCAGAACTCCTCAGCCTGACTGTGAGCAGCAATGTGTCCTAGGCTTAGGGTCCAGAGAGAAGAGGGAAAAGGGCCAGCTGGCTCAGAAGTCAGTCTCTCTCCTCTCTCCCTCCCTTCCCTCTGTCTGCCATGATAAGAAGAACCTTTATCTTCTCCCTGCAATGGACAGAAGCTGTGAGCACAGTGAACCTTCCTTCTTTTTAAGCTGACATGTCAGCTTAAATCTGTTTACATGAAGCCATTTTTAAAAAAACTAAATCAGTATGTCGCCATTTAGAGCAAATAAGAATCTGGCCAACAGTGACTGATTCTTCCTTTCCTGTATGTGGCCAGCAGGAATAGAACAACACAGGTCTAGAAGGGACTGTGTGCCTCACTGGAGTTAGCCAAGAGGCCCTACAAGTGGTGGAAAGGGCCAAGGCCGGAGCTCAAGTCATTTGCATTCGGGAGTCTGAGACAGGAAGATGGCTTGCCTTTAGGGCCGCCAGCCTGGGATGCAATAGGAGACCCTGTCTAAAAATAAGGTGCAGCAGCAACAACCCTGAGAATTCCTAGGGACAGCATCAACCATTTCCACCGTTTTCCCCTGTTGGGTTGAAAAAAAAAAAAAAACGGAAAAACAGACAAATTACCAAGAAAATAAAAGCTTTATTTTTCTTTATAGCCATAGTAGTATAGTTTAATACACAATCACATAGAACCTTGCCTCTCTCAACAGAAAGCATATTATTCATTCGTGCAATTAAAAAATCCACCAAGGTTTTGAAATGGAGTTGGAGTCAGGTATGGTAGTGTGTCCCTTTATTTCCAGCACTGGGGAGGCAGAGGTAGTCTAGTTCAAGGCTAGCCTGGTCTCTACTTCTAGTAGGGCTACCTAACAGAGACCCTGCCTCAAAAAATCAAACAAATGGTGCTGAAATGGTGGGGGAGCCTCTGAATCATCCTTGGGTCCCCTGAACATGCACAGCTGAGTGTGAGAAAGGGGGCATAAAAGGTGGCCGCTACACCTTAAAGAATGGAGCCCAGAACACAGATGGAAGTGGTTGGTGTGCCGAAGGAGCAACTGGCTCTCTGTCTCGCCCCATCATCACAGTCTGCAAGCACTCAAGAACTAAACAGCGAAACTCTGGAATGTGCCTTCAGTAAGGGTTTCCATCCACCCAGCTAGAGATGGGGCTGGGGTTGAGTGCTGAGTGGCTGGAGCTGAGGACTCTCCATCCACTTAAATGACACTAAGAAAGACAGGCACAGGATTACATGGGGGCGGGTGTGTGTGTGTAAGGAGCCGTTACAAGCTAGTGCGCATACGCACTAGGTAACTTTGTAACTTTCCATCCCTTGGTCTCCGCCTCTCCCGTGACGTCATATGGGTTGCCAGCCTATATAAGGGATGGGTTTTTGGGAGTTCAGAGTCTCCGCTCTGTAAGCTTATGCTCTCCCTCTCAAGACGCATTAAAGCTTTACTGCAGAAGGATCCTGAGGAGTGTGCCGCGTCGTTTTTGCTGGCGAGACGGTTAGCGCGGGACAGGGGGGCATTCGGCAAGTGTGGGAATTTAAAAAAAGAAAATTCTCTATTTGATCTACAGGATATAACTGCATACTTCCTAGCTGCTACACTAGATGAAGAACAAAAGTGAGTTCTAGACTGGAGAGACACTCAGCAGGTAAGAGCATGTAATAAAATACTCTTGCAGAGAGGTTCAGGGTCTTTGTCCAGCAACCACTGCTGGCAGCTCACAACTTCTTGTAATTACATCTCCAGGGGATTCAACATTCTCTTCTGGTCTCCTGGGGGCACCTGCACTCATTTGTGCAATACTTAGAAACATACACATAATTTAAAATAAAAATGGTTTTTAAAAGTAAGTTGCAGGGCTGGTGAGTTTGAGGCCAGTCTGGACTACAGAGTGAGTTCCAGGATGTCCATAGCTACACAGAGAAACACTGATTCAACCCTCATCCCCCCCAAAAAAAAAAGAAAGAAAAGAAGAAAGAGCACTTGTTACTCCTGCAGAGCACACAGTTCAGTTCACAGCACCCATACAGCAGCTCATCACTGTCTACCTCCAGTTTTTGTGGAGGTAGATGCCCCCTTCCGACCTTCACAGGTACCAGGCATACACATAGTGCACAATACTCATAAGATAACAGAATAAATAAATCTTAAAGATACTCTAAGAAAGAGAATTGCAGACTACCTAAGCATGAAGTCTTGGGACACTTTTACCTGAAATGACAAGCAGAGACCAGAACAAGATGAACTGAAGATTCTCACACTCTGAATACCTAAATCTATCCTATTGTTTTATTTTCTTTGTTTTCCAACAAGTTGGGGGGAAAAAAACAAGGAGTTGTTCCCAGAACCGAGTGGGTCTCTACCAATGACACAGGTCTTCTAGACTTCAGGGCTGGCAAAGTGGCCTCAGAATGACACTTGCCAGAATCAAGTATCTGTAAAATCAGTCAGAAGAACTATCTAGAACCCAGCATTAGTTTCTTAAGTGACTATCTTGTGTGTATTTCTCTAGTGGTAAGGTGTGGGACTTTATTCCAATTATTAATCTATATCCTGACAAATTTACAAGAGGTTCTTGTAAATAAATCAACATCGACCACAACTCATGGCACAGTCTGAAGATCTTTGCTGGTGTCTCACTTGGTCCAGAACCCTGCCCTGCCCTACATGGCTCTCAGGAGCACATCCTGTTTTCTGTGGGTGGGCATGGGCTCAAGTAAACCAGAAAAATCAAGGGGTAGAAGAGACTCCAAGATGTAAAGACACAAAACACCACCAAAAACTGCAAAAAGACTCCATGGGACTGTGACTTCAACCACAAAACAGTATCTGCTGGGAGGCTTAGTGTCCAGAGGCTGCAGTCCATCCAGATGACACAATAAGGTCCTCTGCTTCCTGACTCAGCAGAACTGGTGCAGCAGAGTGGCCCAGGTCCAGCATGGGAAGATGTAAGATGGACACACCCTTTCTCTGCAGTGGTGCAGAGGCCCCTAGGAAACCCTGCCCTAAGCAATGAGAAAGTGGAGTATTGAGCTCAGCTTGGTCTCACTGTAGTGTGTTCTTTCTATGCCTCTCAAGAGGGAGGCCAGGGTGCTGTGTGGTCAGCCAGCAAGTTGTATGTTTCCTCTCCTTGCCCATATCTTCATCAGGAACTCTTCCGCTCCGAGAACACTAGCAGGGCCTCACCAAGTCCACCCAGCAGGAAGCTGCAAACAGTAGCAGATGGTTAGTTTTCCTCACCTGCAGCCTACCAAAGCTGCCTGGCACCCAGAAACAGCAAGGAAGGGCGATGTAGCCCACAGCTACCAGCCCAGGCGAGCCCAGGTATAAACCAGAAACCATCATGCCACTAATGGGAAAAATGTCAGTTAAAGGGGTGGGTAAGGGGTCTGAGAGCTGCCTCAGGGAAAGGTACGGATCCCACTTATCCTGAACAGTCAACACTCTGAAGGAAAAACATGAGAGGAGGAAGCAAGGCAGAAGAACTTCCTGTGACCCCTTAGGTGCCTCTGGATAAAGGGGATTGTGGGATATGAAATTATGCAGAAACTCACAACCTTATATTAGGAGGGGTGTGGCTTCTGAACTAAGACTAACAGAACAGTTACAGGTGAGCATATAGGTGGGAATCGTGAACTTCCCACCAGCGTAGAAATGTAGCAGTGACTTGAAAACTAAGACCTGAGAACTGCAGCCAGGAGAAGAGTGAATATTCAACATGCCTATAATTAAAAACATTCAAGGTCTCTCCATCTTCTATTTTAAATTTCTTGGTAGAGGATCTGATACCTGTTGCTCTTCTGGAGGCTGGGCTGGGCACTGCCGAGGGATTTTGATGGTAGGTCACCATCAGTGACAGGCTTTTTCAGAGGTGCCTTATAATTTTCAGTTACAGCCTTTCTTCCCTTCCTCTCTATCCACCCACCCACATCCCAGTTCTCTTAAGCAGACTCAGCAATATACATCACCATGGGGCCTTTATATTTCTAACATGTCTGAGGTACTGAATACATGAAACGCACACATTGCCTTCCCAGTGAAAACCTGTATGGGTGATGCTGACACACAGGGAATCTGTACCACTTTGCACTTTTAGTACAAGAATGAACTAAGTGTGAGACTCACACAAACAGGAGTTCAGATTTATCCAGCCTTTGTTTCCCTACCTGGACCGTGGGAGCTGACCACATCTAACAATGTGTACGAGCAAGGCTTAAAGATAACATCTGAAGCCACCCACCCCTGTGCTTGGCCCATAATGGACTACAAATAATACATGGATATTCTCTGACCAGATGAGCTCCTGCAGCAGCAATCCCTGTCTCAGTGGCAGTATGCTGGCTACACCCATCCTCTGCTGAAGACATCTAATGAGGGACATGTCATGTTTCACGGGTGAGAGGCTACATCACTGAACTCAATCTCTATGGACCTCTTCCCTGGGGGAGACACAGAGGCAGCTCCAGGGACGGCACCTCCTCACACTGCCCCAGAAGCTGTACCTTGCAATGAGTCTGCTCTGCAGGCAAGAGAAAATCCAAGCCCACTCCTTTACCACATTTGAGCCTGGGAAAATTCCTCTCACTCTGGGTTAGCACATAGGAAGGAGTACTGGCAAAGGAGCCAGGCACAGAGGTATGAGCATGGGGTTGTCCTTCTACGAGGTGAACGGTAGAGATGAAGTAGACGAGAAAGACGCTCCAAGAGGGAATATCTGTCCCTCTTTCCTACAGACACCATCATAAATAGTGAGAAAAAAACCAATCACTTCTATTCAAGTCACAGGAGTGTAGCTGGGATTGGGGTCTTAGGAACCACGTACACCTTTGAAGACTTTTGCAGTCACTGCCACAGGACTGCTTTTGAGAAGTATGGGCCAAGTTTGAAAAGACCATACCTAGGAATACCTCTGTATACTGTGTCACCTGTTCTCTTTGCCCCCATGAGCTCTCCTTAAAAGCCCCATTTCTTCATCTGAAGTAGCTCTGCTGTTCTTCCCATTCAAGAACACACGTGGTACCTCATGTCCCTCGGCAAGCACACAGATGCCGCAACCTGAGAGGAAGGCTGCACAGAGCTCTGTTGTGGGACAATTTCATTTTAAACACTTCCCACTAATCCTCCTTAATCACCGGGAATGGACTAGGGCAGTGCTGGCCCTCTGCCAGCTCTTCTCTCACAGCCCGGGAACAATGCCCGAGTCTCATAACTTCACATTCATCCCTTTGGTGGAAGGACTTTGTGAAGCGCCCAAGGAGCTTAGTGAATGGTAAAATGAAAACAAACCTTATTTCATTTACTGTGAAGAGAGCCAAGAGGTGGACTTTGATGTTGATTTCTAACCAGCGGGAGCAGTTCACAAGGGGTCCTGGAGTCTTAACAGCATTAGAACTATTTAAGTCAAAGCTTGAGTGAACTGTTTGCAAACCTTGTAATCCCCAACATTCCTGAAATGAACACACTTCACTGAGTGGAGGCATAAACCTCAGGCTTCGGAGCACACGTGGCCAGAAACACTCACTCCAAGTGTCTCTTCAGAGCGTTACTTCAGTGCCTCTCCAGCCCTTCTTCTCCTGAGGGTATCAAAGGCCTTGTCTCACTTTACATCTGTTATTGTGGCTGCCTGGCTAACTCCTACTGAACTCAACAGACGGATGATATTTTTCCTTGGATGAAGACCCAGCACAGCCACACACACACACACACACACACACACACACACACACACACACACACACACACACGAATGACCAGATGGGTAAATGTGTTCCCCATCGCCCATCTATATTCCAACTACTTGGTTTTTACTCCCGTCTACCCCACGAAAATGCAGATTGCTAACATCTCATTCCCTTGCAGAATGAAGGTCACAATCTGATAAAGTATGATACACATGAAAGATAATGGACAACTGCTTTATCTTTTTGTTGTTGATTTTTTTTTTCTTAACATCTGATGTAACCTGAATTTAAACTCACTACGTAGCCAAGAATACACCACACCCAACTGAATGTGGTACTAGGGATGAAATCCAGGGTTTGAGCTTAGGCCGTCACTCTACCAACTAAGCTACATCCCTAGCCCCAAATACCTTTTAAAATGAGATGCCAAAATTCAATTCAAAAAGGAAACTGGTATGTTTCATTCGCTGTAGTCCTAAAGGGACTTAGCAGATACTAGAACATTCTCCCCTGGGTCCTAAATTCATTTTCTGTTTACCAAAACTTGAGTAGTCTCCAGGAAGGGGCCCTAAAATCAGAGGGAGAGGATATCTTGACTCAAAGATAACTGAAAATCTTTTTTTTAAGACTATAAGTTTATTATAAAGCCCAGCAGAATGGGGAGACTAAGAAGAACAGGGGTAAATGACTGACCGCCATGGCCGGTCACCATAGAGAGACAGAGCGAGCACATAGGTGGGAGACAGAGTAGAGAGAAAGCAGAGACAAAGCAGAGAGGGGAAACAGAGAGAGGGAACAGAGAGAGGGAACAGAGAGCATAAATGGGCAGGGGCCTATCTTTTAAAGGGGTCCTCTGTATCTGCCTGCAGACTTAGTTCCCATGGAACCTTGGGCTGACCAGGGTACTGCCTGTTCCACCAGGTAACAGGGGCAGGCCAGCATAATCCCTGAACCTTTCATTCCCACCTCTACTTATTATTAAAAAAAGGTGGGGTGTTTAGACATGGATAAGGGCATTGAATTCTCAAGACTGCTTCCTGCTGACGTGGGGGGCGTTGACCATCTTTGGGGGACCCGAGAAGGTTGGGGTGCTGCCACATCCTGGGGTAGCTGGTTGTTTCATTGCAGTCCAGGCTGTATGGGACTCTCTGGTGCCTCTTAGACCTGGCAAGATGTTGACAGAGCAGAGGACTTTTCTTTCTTTTTAAACAGGTTTTCTGTGTATCCCTGGCTGTCCTGGAACTTACTCTGTAGACCACAATGGCCTGGAACTTACAGAGACCAGCCTGACGCTGCCTCTAGAGTGCTGGGATTAAAAGAGTATGCCACCACCACCTGGCTGAAAGTCTTTTTCTTTATTCTGGGTCTCAGAAAGTATCCCAGGCTGGTCTCAACTTAGACTCCTCCTGCCTCAGCCTCCTGAGTATTGGAATTTTGTACATTATGCTACACCCAGTTCTTTACAATCGTTTTCTAAAGATCCTTGATGTTCATGCAGTCTGTACTGGGATAAGATCTGGGTGATTGTCATGGTTGGTGGTCTGTGATGGATAGATGGCAGGTTGGGTGAATGATGGGCAAAGAGTTGTCATGGACTCCTCAGAAGGAAGCAGATGCATGGTGGTCATCCCCCACAGCCTTACACTTGAATCATTCCAATGAGCACTGCACATATCTGGGGGCAGGTGGGAGTGAAAACCCTACACATCTGGCTGTCACACAGAACCACTTTCAAAGACACACCCAGGGTATCTGGGCGATGCTGCCAAGGATTCAAGCCAATTCAGATCCCTAATTAGGAGATGAGGAAATTCTGTAGGATCTTGTTGAAAAGTCAGACAGCATTCTCTCTGTTCATTTGCAGGAACCCTGAGACTGATAATTCTGTCTCCAGGAAATACTGTCCAATGCCTTAAAGACATTTTCCATTACAAATGAGAGGGTACTACTAGCATCCAGTCAGGTTTGCTACTTGGCATCCAACAAGGTACAGGATGGTACCCCACAACAAGGAATAATCTGGCCCCCAAATACCAATAGTGCCAAGAGTGAAAAACCTGACTTGATTTTTATATTATATTTACATATCTATTTTATGTATGTGTGGAGTAGGAGTGCATGCATGCTATGGTACACAGGTGAGTATCAGGGACAATTTGTGGCAGTTGGAGCAAGCTTAGACCGTTGGGTTTAGAGACAGGCACCGTTACCCACTGAGCTGTCTTGCAAACCCAGAAATCCTACTTTAGATGGCCTAATCTGACCAGCTAAAATGCTGCCTTCCCAAGAGAACAGACAAGCCAGTTCAGGCATGGCTGTGACTATGTTCATCAGACAGCTCTTTCCAGGTTAGTGTCTGTCCACTGGAACAGCTGCTGCCATGTGTGAGCATAGGCCTAATACAAACTCACAGCAGTCTCCATCTTCAAAGGAATATGGAAATCTGGATTTGTAGGAAGAAATCACCTAATTTCTAAACGCTGCTAATTTAAAATTTGAAATCAATCAAAACAAAAGAAACAATAACTGTACAGGAGAATACAGTAGTTCTAAAACATTAGTAAAAATCTAAGACCTGCAACCCCTACCCTTGTGACTTCTGATTAGTTTAATTCACCAGGGCACAAAGGCCAGCCATTCCCATCTGGAACCCATGAGCTGGTGTGGCACTTGGCCATTGGGTAAGAGTTAGAAGTCAGGTTGTCAGCTTGACACACTCCTCCTGGCTGTTCACTTTGCAGTTGGAAAATTCTTCGAGGCAGAAAAACCATCCCTAACCTCAAGAGTTCTAAAAACCCAAGAATTCTCAAAGCCAAGGTTCCTTTTGCAACAGACATACATGCTGCTTCCTTGATTTGGGTCCAAATAGCCTCTCTTTCCATTTTGTCCAGGGCATAATCTCAGTTCCACACATGTGAAGCATCCTGGAGACAGAGTCTCTTCCAGACAACCACCTCATTGCTAGTCTGCCTTAGTATTTCCTCACGACAGAGGATTTCTCTCCCTCAATTCAACACCTGGGTTTCTTTGGTTCATTTTGAAATTCTATACAAAATATGAAGGCATGTGTATAAGAAAGAAAAATACTGTCAAGAACTCAGGCTAGCACCATCTATGGAAAGATAAACATCTAGGCCAGTTTCCTGTATCTCCTTTGTGGGCTTTAACCTTGCACACTGACCTGTACTGCTGACAAGGCTTTGCCAGTGCTCAAGCAAGTTTGGGGGGCTTTGGACACACTGAGGCCTGGGTTTGAATTACAGTCTGATCTC